CTTCCACCTCATAGCCTCCCATTCCTCTTGCCATTTCACACATCCCTTTTCCTATCCTTCACGACAATCAGACCCAGTTCTCTGTTCCCAGAATACAAGTTTGTTCTCTCCTCAGGCCTCTGCCTAGAGTTTCCTGTAGATGGCTGGCTCCTTTTGTTTAATTGTTTATTGTCTGTCTCCCCTCCCTGGAATATATGCTGCCTGAGAGCAAGTACTAGGTCTATCTTTTTTGCCACCATTACACCTGCATCTAGTAGAGTCCCTGACTCATAGTATGTCCCAAATAAAAAGGCTCAAATTTTCAAGAATAGAGGTCAAGGCTCAAAGTGAAAAAAACAAAAAACAATTAGAACTTTTAACTAATCTCATTAAGGGATATCAAAACTTTATGTTAGGACTAACATTTTCCTTGGTCCAAGTAGGTGTCAATGTCAAAAATTCAAACCTACTGTAATAATGTCAATAACCTGGTTATGATGTTATACTATAGTTTTGTAAGATGTTATAATTAAAGGATACCAGATACACAGACTCTCTTTATATTATTTCTTATAACTGCATGTGAAACTATAATTATCTCAAAATACAAAGTTAGGTATAAAAAAGCCCAAATCTAATGGTAAGAGAATTTAGTACTCATTCAGCTTGCTTGTGTAGTACCACTCCAAAATGTATTCCTCCATGGAATGTTCCCTGGTGAGAAATACTCTCTGATGGTGATTTAAGATTACAAAGGAAATCTCCATTTCTGGTAGGTAATCTATTTTTTGGAGCTCAGAACATCCTGACTACACTCTTAAGCACACACAGCACCTGGCCCATAGTGAGTGATCAATAAATATTTGTCCCATTAGCTAATTATTTCTGAGAAAGCCAAAATGACATCTGGGCACAGGCTGTGAACTGTAATACACCACCTGTCATAGCATTCCAGTGAGGAAAGACACCCATATCTAAGACAACCCAGCAAATAACTCTATCCACTATTCACAAATCATTTCTTCTTAAATAGTATGTAAACAAACCTTCAGTTGAACCTTATCCACACATGTTTAATTACTAATTATTTGGTACAAACTGCACTACAGTTTGTTCCCAAATTAAAATGCACTTGAGTTTCTGCAAACTGAGCACAAGGAACCACACTTACTATGTTGTAGTTAAGTGCCATTGAGCACCCACTATGTGCAATGTTAAATTATACCTGTAAGTTGGTATGTCATACCAATAAAGATTAGCTTTATAAACATGGTGATAATAAAAGACAAAAATAAAGAAAACTAAAAAGGAAAATGCATCCTACTTATGTCAGAACCTACTTAGACCAGAGTTGTCAAAAGGGAAACCAGGAATTATTTGGTGACTGAGGGGGCCCTGGAGTTCTGGTGTGGAACTGTGAGCTAATGTATCAGACTACAAAGTCATTTGAACTGTAAGGTTGTTGGTTCAAACTTACCAGCTTCTCCTTGGAAACCCTATACAGGGTTTCCTATGGGTAGGAATCGACACAACAGCACTTAATAACAAGGGGGCCCTAGAGGACTAGAGCATGAATCACAAGATTGGTGGTTGGAGCCTACCGGCTGCTCCACAGGAAAAAGATGAGGCTTTCAGTTCCCACAAAGATTTACAGTCTTGGAAACCCTCTACAGGGTTGTTATGAGTCAGAATCAATTAGACAGCACTTAACAACAACAACAATGTGTACCTAGAAAGGTAGGGCAGAGAAATACTCTGTGGAACTACCTATAGGATCTTGTTACTTAAATGGAAACTGAAGTAATCCCGGTCTTATTAAGAAATCAAAGCCTTTTTCAAAAACTGCTGAGAAAATGTGTGACTGGAGAAGACCAGCTGCATCAGGAAGAAATAAACAACATGAAGACACTCTAGTCATCAATTCTAGCAAAGAATGAAGTGTTTGTATTTCCTAGTTATGTTTAGTTTTTCCTTCTTTTTGTAGAATAATTCATGGGTAAAGTAGCATATTTTCTTACTGTCTTCAGTCCAATCTATGTATTTAAGAAATGCTTTGTAGAACTGACATCCTCTAAAACAATGAAACAGTCAAATTTCACTTAATTTATTAGTTTATCTACTACAATCTCTCCAAAGCAACAAATGAAAACTGACTACTTAAAATTGTATAAACCAACTAAAAATGTATATAAGCCAAGTTCTTCTGAGCATTTTTATCACTTTATAGAACCATTAATACTTCTTCCTCTACCACATAAGTCAGCAATGATTTTTTTCCACAGACTTTCTGAACTGAGCTCTAAGCCAAGTCCAATGACTATTGCCCTTGAAGTAGATTAGTAAAATACAAAGTGCCCAACTTAACACAAGAGCTGATTTCAAAGGATAAAGAGCAGAAAATTCAGAGCTGAGTATAAAACCAGCTCCTGATACGCCCCATTGTTCCCTGGCATTCTCTGGCACTCATCATGTTAGGTGGCCTCATATCTCATCTGGACTAAATACCAAAGTTGAATGCATCTATTTAAGGCAGATGTAGCTTCATCCTTAAATTTCCAGATTTAAATCACTCTTATTCTTTCTCCTTTATTTTCTAAAGTAGCCGCTTTTCTAAGAGTAACAGAGTGGGGTAGGAGTAGACTAATATACTCACCTCAGTTGGATGTAAGAGAATCCTTGGTATTTAAATTTAGCAGTAACTTAGTCCCTAACATCAACACTGGAAATGTGGTGGCCCTGGAAGATAAGCACTGGGCTCTGAACCACAGTTGGAGCCCACTAGCCACTCCATGGGCAAAAGATGAAGCTGTCTGCTCCCACAAAAATTTACAGCCTAGGAAGCCCTATACAGTGTTGCTGAGTTGGAACCGCACTGAACAAAAATAATATCAACACTGTGCTATGAATAAAAGATAGACTAACAAATAAAGCCCTAGAAAATAAGGGAGTGGAGTGGGGATGCCAAACATTTCTATTATAGTTCTTTAAACTACCCTCACTCAATTGGGTCATTAAAACACTATTGAACCAATTGTGGTATCAAAACACCATATAAAGATGGGCAAAGGACTTGAATAACCATTCCCTCAAAGATATGTAAATGGCCAACAAGCAAATGAAAGGATATATAACATCACTAGACAGGAAAAAATGATGAAAACCACACTGGGATACCACTTCTAAGATGACTGTGGACTCCTGGTGTGGCACTGTGGGATCAATACTGGACTGTGAACCACAAGGTCTGCATTCAAACTCACCAGCTGCTCCTCAGAAATCACTGTAACCAACTCAGTGACACTTAATGAGGATGGCTATCCACTGCCTATCCATTGGACACACCGTAGTGGCTTGTCTGCTGCTATGATGAAGGAAGCTAGGCACTGGTACTCACTGGAATTCTTTAAGTGAATACCTATTTCATGTGGTCCATTTGAAAACAACCATATTTAAAGGGGGCTCATTTTCACCACCATGACTCAAGCCTTTTTGTGTTCCAGATATTTTTTACTCTTAAGAATGACAGGAAATGATACAAAACCCTTGAACCACATTAATCTTAGACTTTCAGCTTCATTTACAAGAGAGTTATGATCCCTTCAAGTTACCCAGGAAGGTAGCAGGGTTACTTGGAATGTAGGTCACTTAGAACTGTTCCTTTTACCTCAGTCTCATTTCAAAGTACTGCTTTTGAAGAAAAGATCATGAGCAGATAACAGAGCGTTTTGCAAGTATGTCTATGTGTATCTGTAATGTGTGCATGAGATAGCATCAGGAAAATACCATTTACAAGAACAAAAAGTACTTCCTATAGCTAGGAATTACTTTTGGTTTGAACTGAAATAGCAAATCAAATCGCTCATCGGTCCTAACTATGCTCCCAGGATTCTCAGGGTAGGAGATCTATTGAAAATTCATACAAAAGCCCACCTACCCAAACAAGGCCTGCTCAGTAAGTCACCCAAATACTGCTAGTTTGCTGAAGTGGGAACAGTCCTAAAGCCACCTGAAACTTAGGATGCCTGTGATCATATACTAGGGGCTGGAATAAAAAGGGTACGGGGTTGATAAAGGTGTGCCCCTAGACTCCTTCTGTCTATCAAGTGACAAGTGTCACTTCAGTTTATACTGTCCAACAGGGGAAAGTGTGAAAAGAAAACACAGGGTAGGAAGGGAAGGGGAGCTAACAACAAAAAAGGAGGGGCACCTCTTGGCATCCTTCCATAGGGCCAGGTGTTTTGAATATATAAAGGAGGAAGTACATTTAAAATTTTTTGAATACTTCATTTTCCTGGAAAAATCTACAAGGCAATCTCCTTTCAATAAATGGGACAAATCTTACATTGTGTGAATCATTTATATAAACCAGCTTATATGTAGAATTAGTCTTCTGATTATCAATCACATTAAGAACAGAAATGGATTATGTTGTGTACTTAGTCCTATTGAATCTCACTTCATTAGGGATTCGATAGAGTAGTTCCCTTTTACTCTATAGAGGTCAAAAACTATGCAAAGGTCAGTTTTAAATATATACTTTCTCTCTTCCAGCTGACCCTTTTTAAAAGGTCAGTATAAAATTGATACTTAATAAAACACATTCACAGAGGACTTGTGCCACAGACAAGAATTTATTCTTCTTCCATTGCATAAGAGCACAGCATTCTGAGTTGTCTACTTAGAGCTGAAATGCCATCCAAGTCATACGCTAATTATGGTTTTTTTTATATCAAAAACAAGATCTCTATAAAAAGAAAAAAATTCATTAAAGGCAGGGAAAAAGCCTTTTACAGCTCTCCTAAATAATGGCATTTCAGTTAAATTTGGAAATAAAAGAAGGCTCAGTAAGAAGAATTGAAACTATCTGTTATAATGTTCCACACCACGGAGTCTGCCTTAAACAACATTACAGTGCATTTTATTTAGAGGTTTGATACATGAAGCTTCTTCTGAAGGGACAGATCAGCGCAGCCTTTGCCTAGCTCACACAGGTTCAGGATTTTCGTCTGGAGGAGCATATGTTAGCGGCAGGTGCACTTAGTGGCTATCATGTCTTCGTATTCTTTATAAGCAATTGAACCATCAGGCTCTATGGTCAAAACACTCAAGGGGCTGTATTTGGCAGGTACACATGATGGCCATGGTACTGAGGAGTCCAGCTTCTCGTGGATGATGTTCTGCACCATGGTGTGAACTGGGGAGCCATAGCGATGCCCAACTGCCCTTGGACAGTCTCCTTTACAGTAGCGGGGGTTGTATCTGTGTGGGGCCACAATCCAGTTGTCCCACTTCAGCTGACTAAAGCTAAGCCGAAAGTCATGGAGCTCACACTCGTTTTGGGGAAACAGGAATTGTTTAAAGTATTCACTCAGATTGAAGGAAGCTGGAACCAGGGGCTCTTTCAGTTTAGAGTAGACAGTTTCCTGCCCTCTCCGGTGACGGGCCGTTCTTACACACTCAGCAGCCTCTTCCCCCACGGGCTGTGCAGCCAGGCGTCTCTGGTCAGGACTTTGTAAAGGGCTTCTTTTATAGTGGAGAGAAACCCACCTATGATAAGCCTGAGCACTTGTGTCATTCAGGTACAAGAGCAGCGACGGGGGTACCAGAAGAGACCTGTTAAAGGGGCTGTTCTGTGTGGAAAGATGCTGCAGCTGGTCTTTCTCACATACAAAATTCACAGACAGGTGGATATTTCGTCTGTGGGAGGCCACTAGAGGCTGAAGGAGAGTGGTCACATCGATCTCGATCCACTTGCGTTTCTTTCTAAATTCAAGCTGTGAGCTCAAGGTAAGTGAGTAGGGAGCTCTGGAAGGCTTTGGTTCCGTGACCACCAAGTTGCACACACATTTCACAACAGAGGGAAAAGAACCAGAGCTGTTGAATGTGTATAGCAAGACCGACTTGAGTAAGTGTTCCAGAGCAGTAACACTATCCAGGTTAAACAGCAGCTCCGCGGACAGCAGGATTCCTGAGAAGAAAAACAATCCATCAATGGGGTTTGAATACAAATCCAACATAATAGGAAAGTCAAAACAAAGAATTCCTACTTCTTAATATGTTTCCTTTCCTCCCCCGACCCCCCTTCACTTCAAGCCTCAAAAAAAGTGGGGAAGTTACACAGAGAATGAAAGTAATTGGTGTTATTGTTGTTGTTAAGTGTTGCGGTTCTGACTCATAGTGACCATGTATATGGTTTATGAGGAGCGGCTGGTGAGTTTGAACTGCTAACCTTGCAGTTGAAACTAACCTTGATGTCGTGCTTATCCTATGGTGCCACAACTGTAGTATTTTATCACCAGAAAGGATAGTTTTGGTGGTGCATTTAAAAAGCATAGAATCACTCGATTCTGAGGTTTCAGAGTCTTAATAACTTGCTCTAAACATACAGGAAGCCAAGAAGGAAAGTATCTTCCTCTGGGAATCTCTAGAGAGAAAAGCACTTAACAGGCTTGTTAAGAAGGCATTCTAAGCTCTAGTGGACAAAGCCAATAAAAGAATGCGTAATTGTCTAAGTTAATTTAGAACACTTGAAATTGAACCCAAAGGGAGGCTCTTAAAACCACCACTAACACAGTAAGATACCATGGAAGTCTTTAAACAGCCACAATTGACCTGCTGGGTTATAACAAATCCTTTTCGTGTGTGGGGACCGTCCAGCATGTGGGCTATAGTCTGTTATGTGACGTCTAGTCTGTTCTTTGGAAACCCTATACAGGGTTACTATGAGTCAAAATCAACTCGACAGCACTTAATAACAACAGTCTGTTCTGACCCATAGTAACACTATATAAGGTCTCCGAGGAGCAGCTGGTGGGTTTGAGTCACCGACATTGAGGTTCAAATTGACCTTGTGGTCCAGCACATACAAGGCCCATGGAATCATTTGGTCTGGCACTGCTATGGCAACCACTTCTTCAGCCCTCACATTAGCGGTGAGCTACTTAAATATTTGACCAAATATAGCAGGCTAGTTTTTAAGTTGAGAATTTCGTATGGCTGCAGTGGTGCAATATATTTAGCAGAAAAAAGGTTCCCCACCCCGGCTTTCAGGGTTGCCATGGATCAGAGCCAACTCCACCATACACCACCACCACTACCAGCCCTACTTCAAAAGCTAGTGAACTTAGAGAACCCCCCCAACACACACAGACACACACACACACACACACACATCAAGCTACTGAGTTAAATTGCTAACTAACAGGTCGCTCTTATAAGGACCTACTGTTCCAAATGCTAAAATGGGAATTTAAGCTATTCTCTCACAGGAAACAGAAAATAAAAGGAAATTTAGGCAAAAATTTCAGGCCAGCAGCTTGTTACAGTAGAGAGAACAAGCAATTGCAAGTCAGAAGACCTAGTTCCCAGTCTTGATTTTGTGATCTTGAATAAGACCTGACCTCTCAGGCTACACTTTCTTTAGCCTTTAGATAGCCATTCAGTCTGCTAACTCTAAAAGTCTAGTATTTTGTCCTACCTGAACCCGTCCTCATTGGCATTTGTTGTTGTTGTTACCTGCCATCGAGTTGATTCCGACACATAGAGACCCTGTATAGGGTTTCTGAGGAGCAGCTGGTAGGTTTGAACTGCTGACTTTGCAGTTCACAGTCCAGTATTGATCCTACAGCGTCACTTATAGGCATTAAAGAAGGAACAATTAGATCCAAGTACTAGATTTGTTTGAATTTAGATACTGGGCATCAATAAAATAGAATGCAATTCACAGAACAAGGCCCAACTCTTCTTTGTAATTGAAATGCTGACGTTTTCTAACATCCCTCTACCCCGCTAAGCAATCTGCTCCTACACACCTGTCACCTGGATCCCAGGAGTTTGCTTGTGCTGGGCCCAGGGTGTGAAGAGCCGAACAGTATTGTAGAGATGACTTCTGTTGGATTTAGGGATTCCTTCCTTGGTGGCATAAGCCTTATAGAGCCTCTTCATGTAGCGCAAAGCTCTGGAGTCAGGCTGCAGCCTAGGAGCTCCACCTCGCTCATCAGATAGAATCTTGAAGAGAGGGGGAAGGAGGCCAGATCTGTCTCTCCCATCCAGAGGCTGCAGCAAGGACCAAGGCTCAGCCTCAGGTTCCAACTCAGCATTGGCTGCAATCTGAGCTTCTCCCTTAGAAGCCTGAGAGCCAAAGCTAATAGAAAAACCCAGCCAGGCAAAGCAGCAAAACCAAAGGGAGAAGAATCTGCTGGAAAAGGCCATGGCTTGGAAGAAGTAGCAAGGAACACATTTCCCCCTACCCGTCTTCTTCCTTAAGGCCAGGAAGAGCCTGGCTTTGTCTCTTAAATGAAGTTTACGTGTGTGGGTAGACTAGGGTTTGCTCCGTAATCAAACCTCAAGGATGCCTAACTGAAGATAATTTTATCAGCTCTATATCAAACAGCTGATAACACCCAATGCAGACAATCTCTCCTCATTAAATACAGATTCATTTGGTTATTTGGCTTTCTCTCTTTGGCTTGCTCCTGCCAGTAATGAAAATCCTGTTACACTGTACTAATGGACTAGCTGTGTAGCTAAAGGAGCCCTTGGGGGAGTGTAGTGGGTTTCCATGGGGCTGCTAATTGTAACTTCCGAGGGAGAAAGACGAGGCTGTCTGCTCCTCTAAAGATGGGCAGTCATGGAAACCCTAGGGAGCAGTTCTATTCTGTTCTATAGAGTTTCTGTCACTATGAGTTGGAACTGACTAGGTGGCAGTGGGGTTTTGGTATATAGCTGAAACGCTAAGAAAAACTGAAAAATAATCTTCAAAAGTTAAACCTCTCTTTTTTTAAATTGAATTATTGTTAAATGCCGTAGAGTCTGATCTGACTCATAGCAACCCTGTATAGAGTTTCAAAGGAGCAGCTGGTAAGTTTGAACCAAGTGAAACTAGGATTTTAAAAATATTCCTTAGGTGTTTGCTGAAACTTTCAGAGCATATTGAAAATTATTTAAGATGACACTCTGACTTATTGATACGCAACTTACTGTGTTCGGTTTACACCACTTCCATGTGCTTACACTAAAGAGCTCTGGTAGCGTAGTGGTTACGAATTGGGCTGCGAACCTTAAGATCAGCAGTTCGAAACTACCAGCTGCTCCGCGGGAGACAGATGAGGCTTTCTGCTCCCATAAAGATTTACAGCCTCGGAAACCTGTACAGGGTCGCTATGGGTCGGAACCGACTACACGGCACTTAACAACAACTACAGCAATAAGTACAGGAGACTTTGGTATGGCGCTGGAGGATCAGCATTAGACAGCAAACCACAAGATCATCAGTTCAAACCCACCAGCCGCCCTCAGAAACTTTATTTAGTGTTGTCATGAGTCCTGGTGTGGCACTGCAGGATAATGCACTGGACTGCAAGGTCAGTTTGAATCGCAAGTTCGGCGGTTCAAACTCACGGGTCGCTCCTCGGAAGCCCTACACAGGGTTGCTATGACTCAGAACCGATTTAACAGTACTTATCAGTGAATAAGGAGGATCGTAGAAGAATTGATGCCTTTGAGTTGTGGTGTTGGAGGAGAATACTGAAAGTGCCATGGACTGCCAAAAGAACCAATAAATCTGTTTTGGAAGAAGTGCAGCCAGAGTGCTCCTTGGAGGCCAGGATGGCTAAACTTCGTCTCTCCTACTTTGGACATATTGTCCGGAGGAAACAATCACTGTAGAAGGATGTCATGCTGGGTAGGGTGGAGGGTCAGAGAAAAAGAGGAAGACCCCCAACGAGATGGATCAGCCAGGTGGCATCACTGATGGACTCAGGTGTGGCAGCGGTAGTGAGGTTGGCCCAGGATCGAACATTGTTTCGTTCTGCTGTGCATAGGGTCGCTATGAGTCGGTTCCGACTCGATGGCACCTGACAACAACAACAACAATAACATCAGCAGTTCGAAACTACCAGCCGTTCCGCGGGAGAAAGATGAGGCTTTCTACTCCCATAAGGATTTACACCCTCGGAAACCCTGTACAGGGTCGCTATGGGTCGGAACCGACTCGATGGCACTTAACAACAACAACACAATAAGTACGGGGATCATGGTGGCTCTGTAGGATAAGCACTGGACTGTGGTATGCAGTTCAAGCCCACTAGCTGCTTCGCAGGAGAAAGATGAGACCTTCTGCTCCTGCAAAGATTTCCAGCCTCAGAAATCTTATACAGAGTTGTTATGAGTCAGAACCAACTTGACGGCACTTAACAACTATATTAAAAGTAATTATTTACTGGATGTTGATTTGGAGGGTGAGAATTGACATAGAAATTCCAGACAGCAAAGTAACCATTAGGTTGTTCAGACCTCCCAGATGGCTTAGTACAAAAGGTGTATTGATACTCCAACTATACAATAAGTCCATGGGGTATGATTGTCAGATTGATGGACAACTCATACGTGCCCTTCAATGTTACATAGATTTGTTCTCATTCTGAAATGACTAAATCAACCCCGATTGCAAAAAAATCATCACAATCACCTTCACTTGCTGCACATGCAGACTTTAAATCATTGAAAAGTCTTCGGAAACCCACTGCAATAGAGTGAGTCTATTGCAATTCATAGCAACTCATAGGGTTTTCAAAACTGTAAATCTTTAAAGGAGCAGAAAGCCTTATGTTTCTCCCACTGAGCGGCTGGTGGGTTTGAACTGCCAAGCTTATGGTTAGTAGTCCAGTGCCTAACCTAGGATTAAAACATTAAGTCCCCATTTTAACATTTGGAAGAGTAGGTCCTTACAAAAGCTACCAGGGCTCCTTCCTTCTCACTAAAATGAGACTGCATATGTATGCAGCTGTTCAGCCATAACTACAAATCTGAATGACATACTTGCAATGATCTCATTTGTAACCGAAGCAATGCCTGTGCTTGCAATATGTTTAACAAGTAGGACATTGCCTTTAACACTGACATTTTTACACACAATATCTTGATATCCTTATGTCTTTTGGTCTGCATATTTTGGTTGAAAGGTTTAGAGATGTTTGCAGGTGCTAGAAAACAAATGATTTTTGTGGGTATTTTCATCCTAAGTATTTATGCTCTTGTCTTGGTACCAGGTCAGGGACTACATTTTTTAGAAAAATGAGGCATAAGTGAGCCGTGAAAATACCAAAAGCAGGGGCTATCCAGTGCCACCCAGAAGGAGACTCTTTGATGAAAGAAAGTCAATCCATCATCATAAAATCAGATACTAAACCAGTTTGTGCCGTATCGAGACCTGTAAAATTGAAGTTATGTTGGTAAAATATAAGCCTCCTTTTAGGATGGTCTGTGGCTGGTAAACCCAAACTACGGAATGTGAGTTTCCTGTTGTAGGCCAGCAATTGCACTAACAAGACACTGACACTGGGAATCAAGTAAAAAAAAGTCATTGGACAACAGCGTCCGATGAACACACAGCACCGCACACACACACACACTTCCTCCCCTCGCGCCCTGGCCCGTGGAATAGACAACTGACTTCACCAACAAGCCCGCACCTCCCAAGTCACAGCCGCGGGGGAGGAAGCGCGCCGCGGCCTTCAGTGGAAACAGCCGCTGATCAATTACTTGGCAATTATCTCAGGACTCCTGTAGAATTTGAGAAAACGTTTTTATTTTATCTTGTGAAAAATCTACCCTCTGCAGTTGATTCTAGGGCAGAGGTTACTAAAAGAAGCCCTAGATCCGTGTCGCTGATGGTCTGGAAACAACTGAGCCCTTTTAGCGATCGGCCAAAATCGTATGAATCTCGAATTCTGCTCTGTGCAGTGGCACCTGCTCAAGTCTCAGGTGCCCTCTCCAGAGTTGTGAGGCCTCATGGGCCGTAAGTTCCGGGTCAGAATGACCCTAGAAGTTGGCGGGTCCCTTTCCCTTCAGCAGTTTGTCCCTCTCGGCACCCGGTCACTCCACAGAAAGGAAGCGGCCTAAGGAGGGTGTAAACGTCTCCGAGGCTTCACCTAACATTACCGTAGTGACATCCTCCATTAACATCCCCCCTCCGGCTCAGGCCCCGCCCCTCCATTAAGGCACTTATCTCGATAAAGGTGAGCAACAGCGCCTCCCCCTCGAGATGGCAGGAACGTGGTATTTCCCGGAAGTGACTTCACAGGTGCCCGGAGAGACTTCCGAGCCTACCGGAAGTGACGGGCGGACACCGGTGGACCGTGCGACTGTGGAGGGCGAGGTGACCCTGGTGCGGGAATAGGCCCTGGCTGCGCTGTGTTGGTGGGAGCGCACAGCTCCGGGGCGGGCCGCGACTGCGGGTGGGGAGCAACGTGTGGGTTGGGAAGGATGAGGAGCGACCGGGCGCTGGGGAGGGCATCTCGGGTTAGGGACCTAGCTCGGTCTGAGGGATGTCTCGGTTTTGGACCGAGCACCTGTTCGCCCTCGGCACTGCAGGCGCAGCGGCAACGATGGGCCGCGAGTTTGGGAACCTAACGCGGATGCGGCATGTGATCACCTACGGCTTGTCGCCCTTCGAACAGCGCGCCTTCCCGAACTACTTCAGCAAGGGCATCCCCAACGTGCTGCGCCGCATCCAGGCGTCCGTCCTGCGCGTGGTGCCCCGTGAGTGCCATGGGCCGGGCGGGGGGCGACGGCGGGACCCCTGCGCCGCGGGGCGGGCACTGTCACTGCTGCCCCCACATTTCGTTAAATATTCGCGACGCCTTTCGAGCTCCTCTGTCCTCTGGCCCAAGGGCACATATGTGACTTCAACGCTCTACCTGGAGTCATTTTGATTCATTTCTTTGCTAGTCAGTGATGCAATGTTTTGTGTTAAACGTGCAGCTTGAGATTGTGATTGTCGAACAACATTGCGGATATACGAGAAACCACGACGATGATGAATCTTATGTCAGGGGCCTGTTTCAGTTTCGAAAAACAAAACAGAAAAAAGTGTAGCTTCTGGCTAAAGGAACACATTTCCGTAGGCAGACCCCCTCTTTCTTGGGTCACCTTTAAAATAAGTGTGTAACGTTGCCTTTCTTGATCATCTGGTTTAAAATTGGTTTCTTAAAAACTAGAGTCAGAAAAGAGCTGAGACTAAGATCTATATCCTCTATGTGCTCACTGTTTACTCTCATTTTTTATTTTTAAAGCATTTGTAGTGTTTTACCTTGTCTACACTTGGGGGAACGAGGAGTTTGAGAAGTCCAAGAGGAAGAATCCAGCCACCTATGAAAATGACAAGTGAGCAGCAACTCACCTGGATGGTTCCCTGTCTCTGAAAGACCCTTCTCTGGGAGAGGAGTTTATCACAGTGTCTTGACGACACAATAAATGTCTGAAATAGGCTACTTTTCTGTGATGTGTTTTTTGTGAGCAGAGTGCTTGGTGTGATTGCTCAGACTCAAATTCAGGAAGCTCCACTCCCTAGCATGAGCTCTGACCATTTTGGCTACTTATGGGGCTGGTGTGACACTGCTGGATAAGCACTGGACTGCTAAACATAATGCCAATGGTTCAAACCCACCAGCAGCTCCTTTGTGCAGGGTCGCTATGAGTCAGAACTGACTCGACATGTCACTTAACAACGTGGGATTGATTAGGAACTGGGGTTTACTTCTGTTCCCAAGTCTATAAGAAAATGCCTGTCTCTGTCTTGCAACAGACCAGTTACAGGTGGCGTGGACTATGGGAAGTACTGGTTTTTGGCCTGCTGTCCAATATTGTGCGTATGTCATGTACTCTTCTGTATCCTTTATGTGAATTAAGTTTAAATCCCACAACCACCTTTTCAGTAATTACCATTATGATACTTGTTTTGCAGATGAAAAAACAGACAGAGGTGAAGTAGCCTAGAAATTATATAGTTAGTGGATTCTTGAACCAGAGTTTGTGCTCTTAAACACTATACTTTGTTACCTTTTCCCTCAAAACCGGTATTAGCTTGAGCACAAATCAAGTATGAAAAGAGATGAAGTAATCCCTTGGCCTCTACTTGGGAGCCAAGAATTAAAAACAAAAAAAACTCCATGGCACTGTAGGATAAGCACTGAACCTGTTAACCGCAAGGTTGGCAGTTAAAACTCACCAGCCACTCTTTGAAAATGCTTTACAGGGTCGCTATGAGTCAAAACCAACTCTACAGCACTTAGCAACAGCCTTACATAGAAAAAATTTTCTAACCCCTGCTCTAGAACCTTTGTAGTATCTTTCTTAGTATGTAAGGTACCCTCTTCCCTTGGTAAGGAGATGGTAAGGGTACTGGTTGGTGGACGTTTTTATTTTGGTCCTCTGCTCTGTTTCTAGAGACTGGTTCCCTTCTAAGGATACTTTCAGCCGACCTAGAGTAGCACCTTTCAGAGTTTGGCTCAAGCTCTATCTTTCCCTATTGTGATAACTGTTGCTTTTTAAGAACCCAAATGAAAATACCTTGAGACAAAAAAATAAATATAAAACATGTGTTGTCTATAAAATGTGTTGTGAGGCATAATTAGGGGGAAAGCCTGAGCAGACGTATGCCTGTACCCTTTCTTACTGTAACAGGTAAGTGAATCCTGGTACGATGCTGTAGAATAAGCGGTGGTCTGCTAACCACAAGGCCAGAAACCTTTATATAGGAATCAATTCAAAGGCACTTAAACAACCACCTCTGCTCTGGAGCCTTCTATTTCTCACTCATAAGATAGATGTGATACACAGCCACAGGGTGTGGTAATGATAAATTGATAGTTACTGAGCATGCTGGTGCAGGCTGAACAGAAGAGCTAGTGGATAAAACCTTCCTTACCAAACATGCCCAGTTTTCTTTGCTTTTGTGCAGATTTATTTCTGCAGCTTGATGCCTGATCTGCAGCGTAATTTGGGTCAAGGACTTCTTTGAGAATCTAGCAGCTTTGGAGGTGAAGAAGAGAGAACTCAATTGAGCACAGGTCAAGGGAGAGGACTACTTCTTGGAGATCTTTAATATCTTCCTCATTGTCTTTTCCCTGATTTTAGCCCCAAGCTTCCTAGAGGAGCTCACCCTTTCCCATTTTTCCATAGAATTTATTGTCCCCTAGTTCATTGACTTCTCTGGAGGTGCTGCCATCAGCCATGGATGGGACAGGCATTTTAATATAACCAGAGTCCGTATAATTTTTTATTCGTGTGTGTGTGTGTGTAGTTGTGTGCCATAGAGTCAGTTCTGACCCACAGTGATCCTATGTAGAATTTGTGAGGAGCAGTTGATGAGCTTAAACTGCTGACCTTGCCATTCAAACCTACTCTGCAGTCAATGCATTAATCCACAGTGCCATACCAGGAGATGCCACCTTAAAATAATCCAATTTACCCTTTTTCAGACTAGGTCAAGCTCAGCATGGTCTTAACCCTTGGGTCCCAGGAGCACATCCTACTTTCATCTGGCTGAGCTGAATATGGCTACATTGGTTAAAGACTGCTTTAGACCTATCACTTAGCACGGGGCTTCCCTCTCAGCTGGGGGACATGGACCTCACCTGTGTAGCAGGCACTGAGGTGGTAGGGGTGTGGGATGTGGTGAGCTGTCACAGCTTAGTGACCTTGAACACAGTATGCAATCTGGGATTATTTTAGGGACCATTCTACAGAGAAAACCACAAAAGGAGAATTGGGGTAAAGGCTTTCAGGAGAGGCTGAGGGACAGCTGTTGTGGGCCTCAATGCCTTTTTATATAACCCATCTGCCTGGAGCCTCCAACCCTGGGTGGGCCTTTCACCTGTGATATAACCACTTGCTCCATTTAGCCCTTTCCCAAGCAATCCTGCCACCCTCCCTGCTCCTTCCCCACCTCTGTGAGTCTGCCAACATAACTCCCAAGATGCAGGCCCAGAAGCTGGTGCCAGTTCCAGGCAGCAAAATAAATACACTCTGACCCTTTGTTGAAATGTTACCTGGAAGAGTTTATTCATTTCAGTCTTTCATCTTTTATTAGGCATCCCCTGCTCAGGGAGAGCAAAAGAGTTTCCAATTACTGCCAAGTCCTAATGATCACTCTCCCTGGAATGTGTTTCCAACAGCTGCTCAGGTATCTCCATTCTCTCTCTCATTTCATCTGAAGCATATACGTCAGAAACAGAAAATCCTTACTTGTGTCCAGAGTTATCAAGCTCATTCCTATCAAACCTGCTGGTAAACAAAGCATGTGAATCCCTGTCAGGCCTCAAAGATCTACTCCATCTCATTAAGAAGACTAAAGTCCAGAGGGGAAGACTCTGGACTCTTCCATGTCACCATGCCTAGACCCCAGGCTCCTGCCTTCCACTAAGCACTTTTTTTTTCTCACTTCCGTCAAGCTCATTTTTTTTTTTAAGTATATTTTTGCCTTCTGTTTCATCCAAGTTAAAGTCCTGGTGTGGCACTGTGGGTTAACGTGCTGGACTGCAAGTTGAGTTTGAACCTCAAGGTCGGCGGTTCAAGCTCACCAGCCGCTCCTTGGAAAATCTATACAGGGTCACTATGGGTCGGAACCAACTTGACAGTACTCAACAACTTCGAGTTAATGTGTCTTATAGCTAAAATTGCTAGACCTCTTAAACTATATTGCTGGGGGAAGAGGCATGTTGTTATGTGCAAATTCATTCAGTAACACTTATTTGCACAGAGCCTGCAATTCGTTTTCTTTTCTTTAGGAACAGGTTTCCAGTCACTCCCAGGGTTGTGGGGTGGATGTGGACAGCTGCCACTTAAGCTGGATGCTGCCTTGGTGCTATGCTACTTTGCCTTTACAAGTGTGTGTTTTGCTCCATATTTAGATAAAACATAATTTAACAATAATTTAAAAATGTAACTTTTAAATAAAAAAAATAGTGTAAATATATGTCAAACTATTTCCCTAATAGTGATTACTTTGGTAAGAATTACTGGATCTTCTCTTTTGTGGCTTAGGGGATTGGCACACAAGACAAGCGCTTGAGGCAGTCATTACTATGTGTGGGCACCTGGGCCTCACAGACTCTTCCATTGATGGTACTGGCTTTACAAATTAATACAAAACGCTAGTTTGGTTTTGCTTGTCATAAAAGATGCAGAAATGGAGAGTTAGGGGAAACTACCAATTTTGGGGATGAGCAATTTCCAAAGCATATTTGGCACCACTTCATTCCAGAGTGGTTTAGCACTGGGTCCATAGACCCAACCAGCTCTAGGACATCACGTTGGTTCAGGGTTTTTGCTGACCTAATCAGATTTGTGTTCTAAGCCAATATTCACTAGGTCACCATGTAGCATTGTCCCTCCCCCAGCTCCTAGTTAAGCCCCTACTTGGTGTCATCCGGCACACAAACTCAGAAATTGAGGGTACAGAAAACTGGTTGTGTCCTTGTAGGTTAGGTGGCTTATATAGATCTATGGAGTCATACCCTGTCCAATCCCAGCTCTGAGGTCTCCTAATAACACCATTTTCTCCTTTGATGAGATGTGCCCTCCATTCCCGTCAGGATTAGCAACCATCCTTTCCCACCTTCAGCTGTGCTGAAAACCCCATGTTCCCTTACTGTAGGAATTAAAGTACCCATGCCATTGAATGAGTACTCAGTTCGGTGACATATGTCCTTTAATGCTCTAGAAATCTCCATCAGTTTCTACTTAACCTATTGCTTATAAGCTGTTGTTTAGGCTTGGGGGATTTTCCAGCACTGTGCCTGCTTCTCTGAAACTGTGGAAAGATGCACTGTGTAGGTCTCAGCAAGTACTGGAGGTAAGCACTAACTCAAGGTTTGCAATGTGATCTGTCACCACGAGCTCCCCCAATGATTGAGAAGCTCCTGCTACCACCTCATTCACCATTATTAGTTAACAGCCACAATCCACTCCATTTGTTCATGGTTCAAAGAACTTCCACATCAGTTCTGATTGCCCGTTCCTTGAGAGATGCTTTAATTTTCCCAGCTGGGCATTCATTTACTAGGGAGATGATCTGGAGGATAGGGGATGTAGGGCACTGCAGATCTGGCTTACGAGCATCCACAGAAGGGAGATAAGGGCTGTACGCAAAAGATGTTCTTCCTTCCTGGACAAGGCTAAAGGTTCAATACCATTTCTTTTTTAAGTTTTATTGTGAATTATGTGACAGTTTACATGGGAAAACATTAGTTTTACACTCATCGTATATTGTTTCATTACCATGGTTACAATCACCTCCACGTATCACCAATCAACAAAAGGGTGCATCCTATAAGCCTGCTCCCCCCCACCCCCCCAAAGTCATCAGCACACAGCCCCTCTTCCTCCCTGGATCCTAAGTCCTCTGCCTCCATCTCGGGGATCGCTGCCTCTCTGTCAATACCATTTCTTAAGATCTCATTATTAAAATTCTATTTTGATTAGAATGACCTCACTGAGCTATTTTGGAATCAAAACGTGGCCAGGTGCTGACTTTTGGTAAAATGGGTGAAAGGGTCCAAGCCAGCAATACAATCACTCAAAGTCCAGATGAGGGATCAGTAAATACAACGTGCCCAAAAAAGCAGACCTTGAGCACATTCCTCTGGTAGACATTAACTTATTAAATCAACCCTGATTGCAAAAATAAACTTTGCCCTCATCTCATCTGGCAAAGAGGGGAATATCAACCTATAAAAAGAAGTGGAGACAGATGCTGATTCCAGCATTCTCTGTCAAGATGTGGCACCTCAAACTCTTTGCTGTGCTTTTAACCTGTCTGCTGCTGTTAAGCCAGGTAAGGAAGACTGTATATGTGAACAGAAGGATGGTGGTGGTAAAGGAATTTTAGTGGAATGTGGGAACCAGAATTGGTTCTGAAGAATGGTTCCTCTGCTCTGAATCTGCAGCATCCAGGGGGGTGATCACTCTTCCAGGGTGCACAGCAATGTCAACTCTTTCAATACCCGAGGTGAATTTATCTTTTTGCCCTACAGGTAGATGGCTCCCCAATACCAGAACGGAGCTCAGCAAAGAGAAGACTGCAGAGAATGACCCCGTTTTGGAGAGGAGTGTCTCTTAGGCCTATCGGAGCCTCTTGCCGGGATGATTCTGAATGTACCACAAGACTATGCAGGTAGGTATTCCCCAAACCTGGGAGTAGGGCTGGACCAGAGAGCCCTGGAAACCTGAACAGGGGAGAAGTCAGGAATCACATAGACCAAAAATAAAGCTAATTAGAAGGGGTGGCTGAAGTGACGCAGGATGGGGAGGTCCTGAATGAATAATCCCTCAGGAACCAAAAACAGGTCCATACAAGTACCATGAAAGAGGAGTCTTTTTCCTTTCCTTGGTCTTCCTGAGACTGGACCAATCATGTAGAGGAAGAAAATGTGGGTAAGGCCACCTTGGGCAATGCTAGACCTTTCCCATAACAACTGCCCTTTTGTTTTCCTCCAGAAAAAGACGCTGTTCCTTAAGTGTGGCCCAGGAGTGATATAAATAGCAGGGGAAAGACAGCACTTACCTACAGCAATGCTCCGTTCTATGGAATATTGGTGAATTGTATTTGGGCTGGAGACATCTAAGTGAAGCAATCTTGTGTTTTTAATATTTAAAGACAGATGTGTGCTTTAATTAGTCTCCGTTTCTTCTTAGAATGTTGATGATATATGGATAAACATTACTGAACTTTTCAATTTAAGAGTTTATTTTTGTATGTATACCATTAAATGTCTCAAATTGAAAATTCTGGCAGTCTGGAATTCAAGCTTCTGAGGGGAAGGTGGGTTTCTTCTTGTATATTACAGGGAAAGAACGTCATTGTCTAATATGACATGTTAACGTCTCAGTCTGTTAAGTGTGAAGAAGAGACTTAATATAAAACATAATGGCAGGTTAAAGACAAAAGTGTAGCAATGGCTGGGAGGTTAGCCTTGGTAATTTCATAAGCGGTGACCTTAGATTCCAGCTCTTCAACTCCATGTGAGGAACTATGAAGTGAAGTCTAAAGATGGCAATTTTGGCATTTGCTACCTAATGATTGGCCCAAGGCTATGACTGTTGGAACCTAATCCAGAATTGGGAGAAAATCCTAATATAATCAATAGTAAAAGCCCAAGTCACCAAAAACACAAAAAGGATTTGTCTGACATTTCTGTTGGAACATGAATTATGATCTATGTACAAGGATCTATGTTTACCAAGCTCAAAATTCCTGTAATCAGAGAATGAGACCTGGGCTGATGGACCAGAACACAAATTACATGAAAGGGACAAAGTAAGAATTGAAGAAGTGTAAAGAGCACAGTGTTTATAAACTTTAATACAGAAAATCTATTTGATATTTATTAAACTTAGTTTCTCCAGCTATGGTTTGGCATTATACAAAGCATCTTAATGACACAGTAGAGTTAAAAAGATCTTTACAAATTGAAATGTGATACCCTTGTCTCCAAATATTTTAATTGCCATAAATTTGTTTAAAAATACACATTAAACGCATGTTTGACACTCTAAACTTTCTATAATCTCAATACCACAAAATACATATAATATACTATACAGATGTGGAAAAATCTAGTTAGTATATAATACTTTGCTCACCATTAACAGCTTTATAATGTGAAATGCACATAATGACTTAGAAATTCTAGTTTTTTAGCCCCAAAGTACCTTGGAAATTTTAATGTATTGCAACAAATAAAAGTCACAGTATATAATTGAAATTTTGGTTGAAAATGTCAGATGCCTAAATATTTTGGACAAAAGAAATGTAAAACAAAGATTTGGATCATGTACAAACAAAGGCATCCTATCAGTCACTAACAGTACCTTTCTGCAGAATTAACAAGGCTTTTATCAGTGGCATTACCTCCCCTCCAAAACCCTCCCCAAATAGCAAACAATTATTTACCAATAATTTTAATTTCAAATAAAATGATTTTTAATAAATATATAAGTATTCCATCCTCCATATACAAAATTTCTTAAAACCGTTCAAACCGGAGGCTAGATAGAAATTTTCTTAACTGTGCTTACCAAGCCATCTGGTCCTCAAAGGTAGTGCCTTTTCAGGCACTGCCACCAATGGAGCCAGCTCTGTTGGTGAGCCCCCCACCCCCCACCCCATCCCACAACCTAGTACTGTTGAATGCTCATGTCAGTGATTTGCCAGGTGTGTGCATAACATTGTAAGATGGGGACACTTCTGGAACAGCAACAACAAACTCAACAGTATGGATAATCATGGCATTTGAAAGGCAGCATTTCCAAATAGATATTTTCCAGAGAGAGCAGAGCAGTAGCAGGTAGAAAATTCCAATGGTTAAAAGCTGAAAACAAACTCCACATGAAAGCAGTAAGAGGTCAAAACAGAACATGACTAGAATTTCTGGGTGGGATCTTTTCCATGCTCATTTAAAGGGTTCTGTTTGTTGGCTAGTTTGCTTCTTTTTAAGAATGGCAATCTGTACTCAGCTGAGCAACTGTGGCAAGGAGAGGTCATGACATAGCTGAAAGTAGCTTCATTGTATGATGATTACTCAGGATGCTTAAAGATCTCTATGACTTGGTTTACAACTAACACTAAATGTCTTGACATTCTGTGATGAAATTCCATGAAAAAAAGAGAAGAGATTTACATAGTCTTTCTAGTCCCCTTTCTGGAGACAGCAAGTTCTTTTTAAATGAAGCACACGGTTCATTTGAATAGGAGCTTAGTAAGACCACCTTTATCAACTATTAACTTGTGTCACTTGCTAGCTTGGGTCCAGAAGTCTGAACGGAATTTCTTCATTGCTTAAATACATGAAAGATATGCTCAAAACCATGACCAGTTTGGTCCCTTGTCACTACATATTCCAGTCATTCAAAAGTGAGTATTAGTTATTTCTCCTATTTCACTGGATAGCAATCTTAGATATGCAATGTTATTTGTTATTGGGGGAAAAAAATCTGCCTCTCCAACACATGAAGCTGAAATAAAATTTATATTCTGTATAATTAGGTAATATAGATTATGTGCCATGAATCAGTTCTGACTCAAAGCGACATTGTATATAGGGTTTCTAAGAAGCGGCTGGTGGGTTTGAACTGCTGAATTTGCAGTTATCCTACAGTGCCACACCAGGGCTCCCATAAGAGTCTATAAAGGATTTGAAGTGTGTTGCTTCCCATGACACTTAGTTCTTGTTTTGTTTGTTTCTTTGTTTAAACAAATCATCACAATCTGCCTAAAACAGTCATCCCTAGTAGATGTGTCTGGGACCCAGAGGCAAACTCCTATAAGTCAAAATACACAACAAAGCCATTTTGTTCAATAAGCAATTGGAAAATTAAAATCCTTCCCACCCTGGTAAGAGCCCTATTGTACTACAGAGGGCTCTAATATATTTTAAAAGTTAATTTACTACAAATCATAGTAATTAAGCTTTAACAATCTAAAGGAATACACATTGCACCCTTGAACATCAATATTCAAGGTGTCAACAAGAAAGTGTCTTAGATCAATAAATAATGTGGAAATAGTTGCACTAAGCTAAAATACTAAACACGCACATTTTTGACAAACTAATTTCATGTTTTCATACATACATACATATATATAAAGTGTGTATGTGTACATAATTTTAAAATCCAAAGTTGCATACCCTCACGCCTAGAAGAGTACACAACATACTCCTCCTCCTCTTCTACACAACTAGACATCATGGATTGGAGTGACCACTTGGCTGCTCTGAAACACCATGGAGTGCTGGTCTCCAGAGCCAGAACTTCCATTTATAGTAGGTGCCTTTCCCTAGGCACTTGCATTACAATGCAAACTTATTTATTACAAGTTAAGTTTCCCAAAGTTTCTGTCATTAAATGCAAAATTATGCTATCTGATCTAGTCTGATTAAAACTTTCTTGTAATGAAAAGAAACAAACAACAGTTTAAAAAAACAACAGTGAATTTAATAAAGCCACAAGTGTGTCATTCAAAGTGCAGCCCTGATGCCTTTGGATCCATCAGTGCAAGAGCTCCCCAGAGGCACGAAGCGTGTGTGGGTGTATACACACATTACTCTAGATTGCTTTTACATTGGAGAATTAAATCAGTGCTGGTCAATGTTCTCCAGTCTTCAGCAGCTATAGCTGTAAAGGTATCTGAACATACCAGTACTCACGGCTTATAAAGTTACTTCTTGGCTACTTGCACAGAAAAAGGTGGCATTGAGGCAAGAAATGGGCTGGGTGTTCCCCAACCAGACTAGAGCTTGGGCTGGGTTGTGGAAGCGTGAATCACCTGGAAGGCAGGGTTCCCCACAGCCCAGCCCAGGCTGGCAAGACATCCACCCCAACTTCATCCACCCCAATCTGTGTGTTGGTTGCCTGTAGCGAGTCCGATGTAGGCTGCTGCCTCCTGGCATACAAGTGTGGTCTTAAAGAGCAGTCACCATACAGTAATTTTTAAAATAGTTGCTATTTCTATAACTAGCTATATATTAAGTACAAGTTTCAAGACTATAGTAAGTTTTTAGCCACTTATCAATTTCAGTTTTAAACTGTTAGAAAACATTGAAGACACCTATTGAGGAGGGAGGAATGGTTGACTGTATAGGAATCCAAAGCATGTGTTGGGGCAAATGATGACATTGACATTTGCGAAGACGGACCAGGAGGAGAGCGAGTGGTGTTTCCACAGACTATGACACTGGAAAGTCAATCATTTAGGATAACCTTTTGATCCAGTGCCCATTATCACCTGGTGGGAAAAATCCTCCACTATAAATCATGAAAAATTCATTCTCCAAGAATTAACACACTTTTTTAAAAAGAGTATCTTAGAGCAGCACCATAAAGCATGCAGGAAACTCTGCTTAAACAAATTATCAGTGTGCTCCCAGAAATGCTCCTGCTGCCCATCAGGGCACACGAGACCAGAATGCACTGGAACTCAAGACGCCCCAGTGGCTGCTGTTGCTGAGAGTCTAGAAGCCTCAGTGATGGTTTGTTTTCATTTCTAAGACATCGCTGCAAATTGAGGAATCAGGGCCGAGAAATCAGAGGAGGACAGGGTACATATCCACTTGATCAACAGTGGTGAATTTTTTAATAAATAACTATCATGTCCTCTTAGGAAAAACTGGTTCTAAAACTCATAGTAAGATTAAATTAGGAAGGCATTAGAGACAATTTCTCTAAGGGGAAAAGGTTAACTCAACATCATTTGTAGATCTTAATTTTCAATGATATGTAAAAGACAACTTGAGGTACAAAACAGTTAAGAAGCTCAATAAATACGAAGCCGCTGAACAACGAGAGTTTACAAACTTCAGAAAGAAGTGCAGAAGAGACTCACAGAAAGGATTCACTGCACCACTGAACTGGGAGATTTCTTGTCCTTTTTTTCTGTTTCTCATCTAGACCTTTGGCAATCATCTCTAAATAGTACGATAATCTTTTTTTTTTCTGATTGGATAGATTCATTTTTGGAATGGGGGAGAAGGAAAAACAATTTTTGTTTGAAGTAACATAACCCACTATGTTAGACTAAGTCATGTTCCAAAGTGTTACCTTTTCTGAAAGAATTAATCTATATGTAACTTCAAAGTAAGATTGAAAAGAAAAGAAAAATTTAACATTATTACTTCAAAAGACCAACCTTGTATGGCTGGGCAACTTGTTCCTAGTATAAAACTTCAGCTTGTAAACAATCCAGAGTCTTCATCTAAAGATAAGATTTAAGGCACACCAGACATGATAGGGGCACTATAAACAAAATACAGAAGGGCACATTTCTCACCTTTGACTCCTATATGTACGTTGTAGGGAAAGGTCATTTGATCATACAATGCTTACAAAGCTGGCTTCTTAAACTATACCCCTGCTTGCCTCCTCTCCCCGAGAGCTCACATTATACCAAGTTAGATATTTTTCTAGTGTGACTTTTCTGCTCCCATCAGAAACACACATCACTCATGAGGCCCTTATAATAAAAAGGGAGTAAATATAAGCTAGGTTTAAAAGGAGAAATACACCATGTCTACATCAGGCATTAGAATTGTTAAACTGTACAGCAAAAACATACACACACACACATAGCTCCAGCCCTTCCTATAGCAGTCACTGCATGCTCATATCAGAGTGAAATAATCTAGCATGGGAAAAACAAAAGACAGTAAGAGTTCTGAAGAGATATTTTAACTTTCATATATTAACAATTAGAATTAGGCAGCGACCCTTGTGAGCTGGATTCATCCTTCTTTAAACAGTAACTCATTATATTTCAATTAAGTGTCAAACAATTAACAACAAGAAAGGACACAGGGTTTTAATAAAATCCATAAAATTCAAGATTGTCCATTTATGAAACCCTTTGTATGATGTACTTCTAGAAAGTTTGCCTGCCCTCTTCTTTAATGCATTAAATGCAAGTTATAGTCACCTTGTGATTGTTTTAGTGTTATTAACACATTTCACAGTTCTTGAAATAATGCATACCAAATCAGACACATTAATCTTTCATCCATGTACAGTGCCATCTTCTCATATTTAAGTGATTTTTTTTCATATGGAGAGTATCCTTAATACTAAATATAAATTCTGCAATAAAACTGTAGTTAAGATTTGAAATAACATCAGGTAGTAGGTGTGGAAAGAATCTGTCCATATCTAAGATGAACCAACTCTTACTCTCTTGTTAAGAGTTACCACAAAAAGACACTATAAGGTAACAAAGCTCGCAAAGTATATAAATAAAAGTTCCTACATTAAATTTATGCTAAATATTCAACAGAGTCAATTTATATGTAGAAATAACTAAGCTTTCAAACTAGTCCCAATCTGGGAACTTAAAAAAAAAATTAAAATAAATAGAATTTCAATTGATTAGTTATAAGTTGCAACTGGAATTTCCATCTTATTACAGATAAGTGAAACCATCTTTATCAATGTGCTGTGGATTGAAAACTATTTAAATAACTTTTCATACTGGGAACACTGAAGGGATCAACTGACATGATAGTTTGGGGTTATAAAAAAACAACACATGACCCAGCAGGGAGAAAACCATTCCTCAATCTTAGTGTCGACTAGGTGGCATGGTATGGCAGTTTTCCTTCGTGATGTGACACAGTGTTGTGGAGAAAATCAGAGGCAACAAGAATGTGTTCAGTTCAAGATATCAACTTGGCATCCTGGCGAAGCCAATGCAGTCCCTGCCGGGTGTAGCGAACTAGGTCTGTCATGATGCTTGCATTGAAGATGAGAGGACCCATTACTTTATCCAGTTCAGCAAAGAATTCTAGAAAACCAAAAACATTCATTAAGTGATGTCGACCCTTGTGAATCACTGCTTTAAAATCTTGAGTCTAGACTGTAAAATAACATTCCCATAAAGTAAAAACACTCCCTCCCCCATGAAAATGATGCTGTTCATGTTTTAGAACAAAACATCCTATCTATAGTCTCTCAAGTTACATTTCCCCCTCAAGTAACAACATTTAAAACAGACCATATGGTTAGGAATTAAGTATTATACAAATAAGCAGAATTCCAGAGAAGGAAATTAGAAATTGCTACTATGCAGTAAGCAATATTAAAATGGAGACCTAGTTGCCACATTGTGCTATATCTGATTACTCAAAACATTCTCCATGTAATGATTTTATATAAGCAAGTAGTGTGAATAAGGAGGATGTATTTTGCATGCTTTCCCATAAGAGTTCCTGTGAGGTTTGTTGTTGTTGTTAGGTGCCATTGAGTCGGTACTGACCCACAGTGACTATATGCACAGCAGAACAAAACACTGCCCAATCCTGGGCCAACCTCACTACTGTTGCCATGCTTGAGTCCATCGATGCTGCCACATGGCCAATCTATCTCATTGGGGGTCTTCCTCTTTTTCTCTGATTCTCCACCTTACCAAACATGATACTTTCCTTCTACAGTGACTGGTCCCTCCTAACAATATGTCTGAAGTATGAGAGGTGAAGTTTGGCCACCCTGGCCTCCAAGGAGCACTCTGGCTGCATTTCCTCCAAAACAGATCTATTGGTTCTTTTGGCAGCCCAGGGCACTTTAAATATTCTCCTCCAACACCATAACTCAAAAGCATCAATTCTTTTATGGTCTGCCTTATTCACTGTCCAGATTTCGCATGTATATTAGGTTATTTAAAAAGATCTTGTGCAGATTATTTGCCTAATGCAAAATGCCATTTGATTTCTTGACTGCTACTTCCATGAGTGTTGATAGTTGATGCAAGAAGAATGAAGTTCTTGATAACTTCAATGTTTTCTCCACTGATAAGAATGTTGTTTATTGGTCCAGTGGTGAGGATTTTTGTTTTCTTTACATTGAAATGTGACTGTGCTCTTTGCTCTTCATCAGTAAACGTTTTAAGTCCTCTTCACTTTCAGCAAGCAAGGTTGTATAATCTGCATAATGCAGGTTGTTAATGAGTCTTCCTCCAATCCTGATGCCACGTTTTTCTTCATATAACCCAGCTTCTCAGATTATTTGCTCAGCATACAGGCTGAATAAATATGGTGAAAGAATACAACCTTGTCACACACCTTTTTTAATTTTAAAACATTCAGTGTTCCCATTTTCTGTTCGAACAATTGCTTCTTGGTCCATGTACAGATTCCTCATGAGCACAATTAAGTGTTCCGGAATACTCATACTTCGCAATGTTGTCAATAGCTTGTCATGATTCACATAATCGGAAGCCTTTGCATAGTAAATAAACCACAGGTAGACATCTTTCTGATATTCTCTGCTTTCAGCCAGATCCATCGGACATCAGCAATGATATCCCTTACTCCACTGCCTCTTCTGAATCTGGCTTGAACCTCTGAAAGTTCTGTCAATGAATTAGATACAATCTATAGCCAACCTTTCAGCTGTAATTATATGATATTCACCATTAATAAATTAAAACCCATGTTTTAAGACAGCAGCTTACAACTTGAAGGGAAGGTAATACAAGGATTCTTTCTATGCAATTATAGGATGGTGTGCTTACAAGGGAGGTGTAAAGGAGAGGAGGGGACAATGAGATGACCCCAAGCAATTGTAAACAAAGGGATGTTAAAAGCACAGAAAATTCTTGAGATAAAGACCTCAGCCAAATGAAACAAGATGAGGCTTTCTGCTCCCATAAAGATTCATAGCCTCGGAAACCCTGTGCAAGGCGGACTGAGTCAGAACCAACTGCCGACCTTGAGGTTAGCAGCCCGATTTGTAAGCACTACCCTACCAGAGCTCCCACCAGTTAGCCCCATCTAAATTCCACCTTAAGCAAGGCCTCACAAAGCCTATCCTCCATGCAGCTAGCCCATTCTAAGCTCCACCCTCTCCCAAACCAGTCCTAGCTATTTAGCCACACTCCTCTCTCTCTTTCTCCAGTGGATTGTGAGAGATTGCAGATTCCTGGGTCTAGATAAGTCAGCCCCCAGCACTCTCTCCTAAGGATCCCAAGAGATTCTGCCTCCTCCCCTGATCCTTGGAGGATCACTTGGACTACCCCTACACTATCCTCAACCATATGCCCCCTGACACTACCTAGTTTTCAGTACTGGACCTAAAAGATGCTTTCGTTTCCATTCCTATATCCCATGAGTTCCAACCCCTATTTGCCTTTACCTGGACAGACCCCAACACCCATATAAATCAACAGTTGGCCTGGACTATATCAGCTCAGGGTTTTCTGGACAGCCCCATTATTTTGGCCAAGCCCTCCAAAAGGACTTAAACACACTTAACCTAAAGCCCAGTATTATCCTCCAATATGTTGATGACTAAGGAGCTCTGGTAGCGTAGTGGTTACGAATCAGGCTGCAAACCTCAAGGTCAGCAGTTCGAAACGACCAGCTGCTCTGCGGGAGAAAGATGAGGCGTTCTGCTCCCGTAAAGATTAACAGCCTCGGAAACCCTGTGCAGGGTCACTATGAGTCGGAACCGACTCCACGGCACATAACAACAACAACGTTGATGACTTATTGTTATGCTCTCCTTCCTTGTCCCTCTCCCTCCAGCATACCATCCACCCAGTTATTAAATCAATTAGCACAGTGGGGCTATCAGATGTCCAAACACAAAGCCCAAATAACAAAGAAAGGAGTAACTTACCTGGGACTCTCCCTAACACCAACCATTAGAGGAATCCCAGAAGATCCCAGCTTATCTCTCCAAGCAACTAGACTCTGTATACCAAGGATGGCTAGCCTGCATGAAGACCTTAGCCAGTGCAGCAATCCTCACTACTGAGGCACAAAAATTCACCCTATACCAACTACTAACCGTCTTCTCCTCACATAACCTACAAGTTATGATTAGCTGCAAAGCACTCTCTTCAATGTCTGACTCACGACTTCAATACCTTTTATGCCACCCTTATGCACCCATGCATTATCTTTAAAAAACTCCGTCTCTTAATTTAGCTACGCTTTTACCCCCAACAAATACACAGCTTTGGACTGAAAGAGGACTCTTAACTTTACAAGGCACTCCCATAATAAATACAAAATTAACTAACAGATTCTTAGAAGCATTCCTCCTACCTTCAAAGATAGCCCTACCGCACTGCTGCAGTCATCAAAACGATTCCAGCTACACCTCTGAATATAATCGGCAAGTCGACTGCCTAGCCAAATCAGCTGCATCCCACAACTCCAACACACAAACACACAGTACCCAAGCAATAACACTTTTCCCACTAACTCTCACCTCTCTGCCCCCCAGCACATACAAAAAGAACAAGACTCTTACTCTTGTAACCCTCAAGCCACCTTTATAAAACCCTACTGGTATACACAAGGAAAACTAACCATACCCCAAAACGACAAACATCAATTTCTAAAGGAAATTCATAACCTCACACATACCAGTGCTTTGCCTTTGATCCATTTTCTTAAAACACAAATCTATTATACACCAGATATCCATACTGTGTTCCAATCCCACAGCCTTTCTTGTCAAATATGCCAGAACAAATCTCCATCCTCATAGGCTTCCCACCCACCAGTTCAGAGGCCACTTGCCAGGACAAGATTGGCAAGTTGACTTCATATACATGCCCACAGTGAGAAAAGTTAAATATCTTCTAATATGTATAGATACCTTTTCTGGATGGGTTGAAGCCTTCCCCATTACCAATAAACTAGACTCCACATTCTCAAAAATCCTAATCTCAGAAATTATCACAGGCTTCAGAGTCTCCACCTCTCTTCAATATGACAATGGAAAGGAATTTATCTCAGAAGTCACCCAACATACAGCCCTAGCCCTAGGTATATTCTAGAAATTTCATATTCCTTATCACCCCCAGTCATCAGGAAAGGTTGAGCGAATGAATCACACTCTGAAAGGAATCTTAACAAAACTAGCCTCAAGTACCCAAAAGGACTGGATAACCCTTTTTTACCCCTTGTACTCCTAAAAATTAGAGCAATGCCAAAAAAAATCTTTTCCTAAGCCCCTTTGAATTAGACTATGGCCGCCCTCTAAGCCCAATTCTTAGGCCCTCAAGAAACCCTACCCATGACCATTCCTCCTCCACTCATTAGCCCACTTTTATACACAGTCCAGTCAATCCTGTGGAAACATGCCAACGACCACCTGCCAACTCCCAAACCTAACCTCCCAATAGCTCTTATCCCTAGAGACCAAGTTCTCCTGAGAAAACAACAACAACAACAACAAAAAACAACCCAAAAACCCTTCTTCTTTACAACCAAAATGGGAAAGACTCTATATAGTTATCTTAGTCACACCCATTGTAGCCAAACTAAAAGGAAAAATGCCATGGTATCATTTAGCCTCCCTAAAAACTCCCTGATATACTATCTCGCTCCCAGGACCATCTCAACCACCTCCAATCAACTGACAAATGCTCTGACCAGTCACCTTCATAGGGGCATTAATACTACTGGCAGTTTTCCCCAGCTGTATAATTTTCTGCATCTCCTTCACCAACTATATCTCCATCCCAGCCTGTTGGCTAAATCCATACTTAGGAGCCACCATCGGAATCCTTGTTCTCTGTTTTATTCTATCCTGACTTCCCTGAACACCACATGAGTCTCACAATTCCCCAATTTACAACCTTTATCAGTGATCTCTTTTCTGACTTGTACATGTCTCAAGGCAATAGGCCCCCAAGTCAGGAGAGACTCGCGTTACCCATTAGTAACACTCGACTGTTTCTGCATACTCAAACCCACAGGTTAGCTCTAGAAGCAAGCCACAACTCCAGCCATGCCAACTCCATCCTCCTATAACCTTTAGGAGCAGCACACC